ACCCCGCCGCCCGCCTCCCTCTCCCTCTCCCTCGCCGCCGCCAGCCCCGCCGCGGCGCTCGGCACCCGCATGTTGCAGCACTCGGGCGCCTCCTGCCCCATGGCGTGCACGTGCGCGTGGCCGCAGTCCCCATCGAACCGCGCCAGGAGCGCCGGCTCGCCCGCCGCGCTCGAGGGCGAGTCGAACGGCAGCGCGGCGCCGAAGAGGAGGTGCTGCACGATCGGGAGCTTGCCGAGCACCTCGGCGGCGTACATCCTCGCCAGGCCCTCGGAGACCTTGCGCCAGTTGGGCACGCCGGAGATGTCGTCGAGCAGGGGCGAGTGCCACCGCAGGCTCGGCGCGCCGATCTTGGTCGCGTTGGCGTGGCGGACCATGTCCAGGTAGAGGTACGCGCGCGAGAAGCCGTCCAGGATCTCGGCCGAGTGGATCGATTTCGGGCGGATGCGCGGGTGGTCCGAGAGCTGCGAGGCGCCGAAGAGGAAGGGGAGGAAGTGGTAGTCGTCCAGGCCCCAGACGCCGTGCGAGCCGGCGGGCTCGAGCCAGTAGACGGATTGGAGCGAGCGCATCAGGAGCACGTAGCGCCGGAAAACGAGCAGAACGAGCTGGGCGCCGTATTGCCGGGCATCCACGAAGCCGGACGCATGGAGGCAGTAGCTGGAAGGAGGTGAAATGTTAGACGAGAGAGTTTCTGCGCATGGCCAGAAAACGCTCACAGGAAAAGGAGGAAGTGCAGCTCGTGCCCCGTTCCGTAGTCGATCCTCTGAATGTTGCCGAAACTGTTTTCGAGGTACTCCGCAGCCTCGTCGGCGAGTCGGCCGGCCGGGACACCCAGGGAGCGAACCAGCTCGGGGGCCCGTTCCCGCACCCTGCCCAGCCAGCCGCGGAAGCTCGGGTTCCCGAACCTGCTCTGCCCGCCTGTCTCCGGCGCAAAGTCCGCCATCCACGCGTCGAGCAGGTCCAGCATGTCGAGCAGCGCACGGACCGGGGCTGCGCACTCCTCGACTTCCACATCGGAAACGGCGCAGTTGCGCACCGACTCGGCGAGCAGCTCGACGAAACTGAGAATGGAGGCGTGCGCAGGCGAGGACTGGAACGCGTCGAGGTCGTCGCGCGTGAGGATCCGGCGCGAGAGCGCGGCCGGCCGCGGCGACGACGAGGCGTGCGCGGGGTTCTCCCCGCCGTGCGCCTCCGCGGGCCCGCCTTTCGCGCCCGCTCCGACGCTGAGATCGTCGAACCGCGTTGCGAGCGCGTCGCCGTTGGCGGCTGCCACGTCGGACGTCATGGCTACACGCGAAACTGAACTCCTGTCTTCCGCGTTCTTCCTCTGAGAGGGGCTCGTGGGCGCGAACGAGTATGTCTCGCAAACGCGACTCGCGCGGCCGTTTCGTCTCGTCCCGGCAAGTGAACGATGATTCCGAAGGCCTACGAGCCGAGATCGCCGCCCTGCGCGCGCAGCTGGCCGAGCGGGACGCGGAGCTCGCCAAGGAACGTGCCTCCCGCAAAGATGCTGAACGCGCCCTGGCCGATCTGAGGGCCCGCGTCCCGCTGCCTCGGCTGCCGACGGAAGTTTGGGAGCAAGTGTTCCAGCTCCTGAAGGGCGCATTGCGGGTCCGCAGCGCCGCCAAGCTCATGGCCACCTGCAAGGACCTTCTCCCAATCGGGAGACAGGTCATCTACCGGGGTCTCATCGTCGGCATGGACGTGGAACCTCGGAATATCACGTCCACCATGCCTCTGCACCTCGTCGGCAATCTTGATCTGCGGCACGCCAACGGGCTGCGAGGACTTACTGTTCTGGAGCTCGTCAATCGTTGCCGCAACATCCAGGCCCTCCACCTGCCCGGCGCGCTCCTTGCCGATCACGGGCCGGACGATCTCTGCACTGCGCTTCTGGGTCTGCGCAAATTGAAGAGTCTGAACATTACCCATTTGCCCTGGAGGCTTCCCGGCCTACGTTTTCCATCGTCGCTTGAGGAACTTGACATTTCTCTGTCGTACGGCGCGTCCTCCGGATCCAGGCTCGCATGGCTCGTGGACGCCGTGGAGGCCGCGCCGGTGCTGCGTCGTTGGTCGGTGAAGACGTTCTGCCTCCCCGACTTTGCCGGTCACCCTCGCGCTGCGAGGACCTTGGACGAGGTCTGGTGGTACAACAAGAGCCTGGATGACCATCCAACTCTCGAGCCCTGGTCCATCTCCCTTGTCGCGCACTCTGGGCTCACCCTGAGGAAGGTGTACGCCGAGCGGTGGCACGATTTCCTGGCCGTTCCGTCCGTCGAAGCGGTGGAGATGGGACTGGCTGGTCGGGCCATGGGGCCCGGCGAAAGGTTCTGGGAGGTGGTCCTCCCGCCGCGGCTCAAGCTGCTCGAGTTTGCCAAGCTTTCCGTCGCCGGCCCGATCGACCGGGACGAAGTGCGGCTGTGGCTCGAGAAGAGGCCGGAGCTCCGCGTGCGCGTGCTCTTCACTTACGCGACCGATCTGTGGGGTTCGTTCGACCAGGTAGAACTTGTCGATGAATACGGCATTGGATTTGATTAGATGCCGCGCCTACACGCGTCGCCCGCTTCATCCGGCTTTTGCCCGCCCCTCGATCGGCACTATCCCGCACGCGAACCTCTCCCCAAACACCTCCGCCTCCCCGTTCCCCCTTCCCCCCACGTACGCCAGCACCACCTCTGCCTCCCCACCCCCCTTGACGAACCCCGCCAGCCCCTCCTTGGGCCGCCCGAACGCGAGCACCCACCGCGCAGGGAGAGGCTCCGGGATCCTCCACGCCTCGCCCGTGCGCGCGTCCCGGCCCGTCGGAAGCTCGAACGCCAGCACGGGGAAGGTGCGCAGCCGGAGGAGCTGGTGCGCGTGGCGGAGGGCCGAGACGGTGGGGTTGCGGCATGGGGAGGGGATGCTGTTGGGGGTTGGGGGATCCGTGGGGGAGGGGTGGTGCGGGCCGGCGAGGGCGTCTATGAGGAGGAGGGGTGGGTGGGTGGGGAGGTCGGAGGCGGTGGGGATGGGGGTGGGGAGGTGGTCGAGCTGGCTCGTAACGGCCTGGCAGGTGGTTTTCGGTCAGAACGACGAGATCCATCGCCGTGGACGACCGGGCAACGCACCTCGCAGAACGGACGGCTTTCCCGGGCAACGAAACAAGCCACCTCGGCCCCGAAATTGGCAAGGTGCCTCGCGCAAGCGAGCGCGAACGCCCCCGTCTCGTGATCCCCCGCCAGCACCAGCACCTCGGGCCCGCCGCCCGCGTCCCCGCCCTCTTTCCGGCGCTTGGCGCGCGTCTGCGACAGGAACGGCAGGCACAGGGTGGCCCCGCCGCGCCCGGCGTTCTCGGCCACGGAGGGCAGCGCGCCCGTCGCCCGCGACACCTCCAGGAACGAAGTCCACTGCTCCGGCGAGTACGTGTCTACCGGCTTCCCTGTTGCCGTGGATTTGAAGTATGCCGGCGGCGAGTCCGTCGCGGGTGGCGCCGCTGGGACCTGCACCGCCGCTGGCGGGATCCCGTTCGGCGCCGCCGCCGCCGGTGCCGGCGCGGCCCGAGTCCCGCTACCAGGAACCACCGCCGCCGGTCCTCCCGCGCGCTCGTCGTCGGTCAGCACCATTTCGCGGATGCCGAGCTTGCGCTGGCCCTCAGGCAAACGGTTGTGCGCGACCAGGCGCTCCGACTGCGGCGTCTTGTCCTCGGAGGCGATCTCGGCGAAGATGGCGGGTTTGTCGAATAGCGCCAGGGAGCGCTGGAAGTCGAATTCCTAATTCGGTGTAATGAGAAACGTTGGGAAATGAGTACGGGCGTCGTAACGGGGCGTGTCGGCCAACGACATACCTCGAGGTGGTACTTTCTAACCTCCTCGTCCTGCCAATTGCTCGGCTGGCCCATGTACTCCTTTTCCCGGTCCCGCTTCCGCCTCGACGAACCCGCGGCCGGCTGCGGCTGCGGCTGCGGCGGGACCTCCTTCCTCTCTCTCTCCTTCCGCTGCCCGCCGCGAGCTGGCGCGGCCACCAAATCGTTGTAGTCCACCTCCTCCTCGTCATTGTCCGCGTCCTGCGGCCGCGGAGTCTTTTCCTTCTCCTTCTCCTTGGGCTTCGCGGGTTCGCCCCGCTTTGCGCGCTCCTTTGCCGGCGCCGGCGGCGGGGGCGGCAGCGGCAGCCTGGGCGATCCCCTGCTCTGCGTCGGCGATGGCGCCGGCCTGGTCTGCGCCGCGGGGATCAGCAGCTGCGGCGGCAGCGCGGGGGCGACTGGGCCGGGAAGCGCCGGCAGGATCTGCAGGTCCGCGATGTCGCGCGCGGGCAGCACAAACGCCGGCAGCGACTGCGGCGGCACGGACGGCGCCGTCAGCGTGGCTGCAATTTCGAAATTATTCGGCTGCCGGCGCGTCCGGGGAACGGGAGTGCCCACCGTCCTTGAGCGTCATCGTCTGCGCCGCCTGCTGGATCTCGCTGACGACGCCCGTCACGACGAGTCCCGAGTGCAGCGTCACGCGGACGGGCAGCCCGAGGAATTCGGACGCCGCCATCGCGTCTTCCGTTGGGGGAGGTGACGTAGGAGAAGGACGACTTTTCGGCTTCCTTGGCATGGAGTTGGCGCGGCCGAGTGGACGCGCGCACAAACAGACAGACGGCGGACCGAGGATGGTCGGATCGGAAACGAAAATCCGGGCGAGTTGGGCCGGGATTCGGACGAATGTGATCAAATGTGAGCTGGAGGCGTCGAATGATCGTGACCGTCACTCGAGAAAGGTGCGAGAGGACCGTATGGGTCCACAAAGCAGTGGATGGGACAAGCTTAGGGATGATGCAGAGATTGACGGTCCAAAAGTGCGCGCGGGGGTCCGTCCGAGGCCGTCCGCCCCGCCTCCAACGCACCTCCACGCGTCCCCGAGGCGGAAAACGGTGAGGCCACACACAGAGGAAGAGCTATGGTGACGCACAGATTTCCAAAAGAGCTCTCTGGCTATACCTCCGGGTCGTACGGCCGCGACAACGCGTCCCTCAGGGGCCAAAAGGGGAGGCCGCACACAGAGTCGAACTGTGGTTTGCAGAGATTTCCGTCGAAATCAGAATCTGCCGTGATAACCACCTACACTATGCAGCTCATGTTCTCCTAAGAAGGGGTAGTCAAAGAGGACCCTGCGGCTCTGCGGCGCCAAAGGAGGCCTAACGTTGCTCTCTGGACTTCGAGCAACCGCATCGCAAGGACACTACATCAATAGAGCAAGCCCAGGAGGTCGTATGCGCTACATCCTGCGCGTCTGAACCTACCCAGGCCCGTCCAGGTACACCATGTGGGGTGAGGACTGACGCTCAGCCCACTTCGGCCTGCGGCTATACGCTCGCCACCTTGTCTTTCTGCAGCGCCCCATCCTTCGCCTGCCGAGCCCAATCCTGCATCTGATGCTAAAGATCCGTCCAGGAAGCTGAGCTGCTCATAGGAGTGCTTGCCCGTTGAGTCGGTTCTCGCGCTCCATCAACACGTAGCATTCGCGCCTAGAATGAAATTGCACCCGCGCAAGAAGCTCTGTAGTTGCAATGATGAAGGCGCTAGGACCGCGGGCGGCCGTTGGACGGAGGGATTGCTTATTTGTACGGTTGATCTAGTGGAACGTAAGCATTTGCGTTTGAAAGGCAGGTCTTGAAGGCGCCACAGCGGAGTTGGGCCAGGGAAGCAAATCGGCAAAGCTGGAAACGGCTGAGCTCAGGTCATAGTTCCATCATTTCTTATTCCCCAGAAATAGATAGTGTAGGGATATCGACAGAGAGAGAGAGCAAGTCTCTGATCGAGTTTGCGGGCCCTAAGAAACCTGGGTGATCCTCAGCAAAGCCAGCCCGTGCGCATCCACTTTCGGAGGTCCCCTAAAGACCGTCCTGCCCGACCACCGTGCCTGCAGGTCCTTCTTCGCAAACACGTCCCGGATGCTGAACCTCCGGCCGTCGGCCACCTGCGCCTTGGTAAGGCCTAGGGAACCGGCGATCGCGGCAAAGTCCACGGCCATCCAGCGCGCGACGCCGTCACGGTTGAGGAGGGCGACGACGCACGAGGGTTTTGCGCCCGCAAGGGGGCCGGCCCAGACCTCGCGGCCGCCTGCGGCCGAGATCCGGGTAACGGTTTTGCCTCTAGCGTCCTGGTTGATCGCGATGACCTCCCCGTTGAGCAGGATGGCCTCATTGGCGGGGCTGATGGTCCGCAAGTCCGTGCCGATGATGAGCGGGGACTTGAGCGCGGCCCACATGCCAAAGTGCGCCCTGTTCTCTGCTGCATTCAGACCCGGATTGCCGACCTGCAGCATGTCCGCGTCGTTCCAACCCCTGGTCGGCCCCTGGTACGCCGAAAGGGGGGCCATGATGTCGATGATCCCCGTGACGGATTTGAACCAGCCGCAGTCCACCGAGAACGAGCGGCAGATGTCGTGGCTGACACGCCAGTAGTCCGCGATCTGCCACGCCCAGGTCCACTCCCGGTAATCGCCCCACGCACACATGGCGTAGACGATGGGTCGGTCCTTCGGGGCGTACTTTTTGAGGGCGTTGGCCATGGCCGTGAACCGCGGTCGCGGTGGGCGATCGTCGTTGTTGCAGTTATCGTACTTGAGCAGGTCGACCTTCCAGCGGGCAAAGGTCCTGGCGTCGATGTCCTCGTGATCCAGCGAGCCGGGCCGCTTTTCGCAGGTGCCCCAGCCGGCGGAAGAGTAGATGCCGAGCTTCATGCCCCGGGCGTGGACGTAGTCCGCGATGAAGGCGATGCCCCGCGGGAATCGCGTCGGGTGCGGGACCAGCTCGCCTGTGGCCGGGTTCCTGGCGTCCGCCATCCAGCAGTCGTCGATGTTGAAGTAGTTGTATCCTGCCGCCACATAGCCCCGCGCGACCATCAGGTCCGCGTTGGCGAGCACCTTCCTCTCGTCGATGTCGCAGCCGAACGCGTTCCACGTGTTGAAGCCCATCGGCGGGCGCGGCGACAGGGGCTTGTTGGCCGTCAGGTTGGTCGCGCCCGCGCCGAGCTGCGCGTCCGCCTGCGGCGCCGCAACCAAAGCCAAAGCGGCCAGCGCCAGGGCCGAGAGCCCCGGCGTCTTCATCTCGATCGCACGAATGAAGAGATTGCGGGGAGAATGGGGGCGATGCGGTCAGAGCCGCACAGGGGCGTGAGGGCCGCGACGTGTGGCGCAGCGGCGGGGACTCGGGCTCCCTTTGGGGTTGTTTACGCGACGCCGATACGTAGCGGACAATTCGAAGAGTCGAATGGCAATGTCGGAGAAGTCGTTAGACAAGTTGATGGCTAGAAGAATGACGCTGGCGCCGTGCCCTAGGAAGCACGTTCTCCGCGCGAAGGCTACGTGTTGATGGAGCGCGAGAACCGACTCAACGGGCAAGCACTCCTATGAGCAGCTCAGCTTCCTGGACGGATCTTTAGCATCAGATGCAGGATTGGGCTCGGCAGGCGAAGGATGGGGCGCTGCAGAAAGACAAGGTGGCGAGCGTATAGCCGCAGGCCGAAGTGGGCTGAGCGTCAGTCCTCACCCCACATGGTGTACCTGGACGGGCCTGGGTAGGTTCAGACGCGCAGGATGTAGCGCATACGACCTCCTGGGCTTGCTCTATTGATGTAGTGTCCTTGCGATGCGGTTGCTCGAAGTCCAGAGAGCAACGTTAGGCCTCCTTTGGCGCCGCAGAGCCGCAGGGTCCTCTTTGACTACCCCTTCTTAGGAAAACATGAGCTGCATAGTGTAGGTGGTTATCACGGCAGATTCTGATTTCGACGGAAATCTCTGCAAGAACGGGGATGTGGCTGCCGCTGCCGCCGGCTGGGTACCTTGGTGCACCCGGGCGGGCCGGGAATACAGCAGGTCGCACGTGGGTGATCGCCAGCCCTTTTGAAGGGAGAGGAATTTGACCCTCTTTCTCTTTTGGCCCGGATTGATAGCTGCCAGGGATTACAAGGTCTGAGGACGGACGCCGGCCCCGGCGATGTGATCAAGTTCGTCGGCTGGTCGTGGCACGGCTTTCGTCGAGAGACGGAGACATCCACCTTCTGTCGCAAGCTAGTTCTTCATTTACTATGCCAATTTAACTGTTGGATGTCGTTTAGACGCGAATAGACCGCGCGGACGGGAGAGATCCCTGACGTCAGCACTTCAGCACATCACTTGGCCAGGGTTTCACAACCCGCTCCGAATCCATCAGCTGAAGGCCATGTAGATTGTGATTCGTCTGACGTCGTTGGCACGCATTAGGGAGAGGCGGATTTCTGGGTTGGATGGGCAAGTTCAATTTCCGTCTCGCCATTGATGGACTTCACCGCGCTTGCCCATTAGAACCTCCCCGCGAGACTCCCGGCGCTTCCCCGCGCCTTCCTGCGGCGCCTTCCTTTCCGCGACGCTCATTTAGAACGCGCCGCGATGGTCTCCGCGCCGCCCAGCAAGGAGAAGGACGCGAAGGACACGCCGAACGGCACGGCCGAGCCGGCGAAAAAGGACGCCAAGAAGGACAGCGGCCGCGCGCGCCCGACGCTCGACTCGATCAAGGTGGCCAAACCGAAGAAGCCGACCGACGAGGGCATCGACGCCGTCGTCGACGACGAGTTCGAGGACTTTCCGGCGGACGAGTGGGAGGCCGGCCCGGACGGCGAGGAGCAGCAGTGGGAGGATTCGTGGGCGGACGAGGTCGAGGAGGAGGACTTTGCCGCCGTGCTCGCGAAGGAACACGCCAAGGCCGGGGGAGCTCAACCCATGAAGATCTGATGGGGGCGGAGGAGCGGACATGGGACGCGTTGGCCGCGCGACCGAGGGACACGGGGCATGCTGCCGCCTGCCGATGGCCAGCAAGCCGACTGGAAATGCCGGATCTCAATATACCTCGCTTCAGGGGCGGATCGCCCCGGTGCTGCTTGAACTCGTGGGCTTGTTGCGGTCGACTCGTTGCCCGCACCCCGACCTTGCCCACATATTGGCGCCTTACGCGACTTCATCTACACGATTACCTTCCCTCCGAGCTGATCTGCTTCCCGTGTTGGAATTAGTAGGATGCCTCAGTGGTGGATGTGTAGATCGAGGTGCTGTTGCGAACCCAGATCGGTGCCGCAAGTCCGTCTATATTCACAGACACACTGCAATCGATTGCATTTGCAGTCGAACCGTTCGGATCCGATCTAGGCCCTTTGAGTCGGACCTTCGCAGCGGTGGCGGCCTGAGTCGGCCGAGCGGCCCGGCGCCCCACGCCAAAACCCCGAGTGGCGAAGAGGAGACAGACCGTGCCAAGTTCGCCGCGAGGTGCGTTTCTGCGACGATTCCGCGCGCTTCTTTGCCGTCGCGCCTGGATGGCCTCCCTGCGGAACGGCGCACGGCGGCGCTGACCCCCGGGCGTCGGACTCATTCGCCGAGTCGGGGTCCGCTCCGCGCACGCGACCTGCGTGGCGTACGGAGCTGCCGAAGTCGGCAGCAGCTGCCGCATCTGTTCATTCTTTCTTCGCTCTTCGACGACGCAAAAGCTGCCGTCGCGCGGGCTGCCTTGCTCGCGATGGGAGACGACTGACACGTCTCCCACTTCAGAACCGGCCAGCACGACCATGTCTGTTACCCTGCAGCCCGAGCCAGCTCCGGTCAAGAATGACGTACGTGTGCCTCGCCATCCGCGGTGGTGCCGGGCTAACCTTTGTCTGTCTCGTTCGGCATCGTTGTCACCCGCCAGCGCTACACTCAGCGCCCCAAGGGCTCCACCTGGGGCGACTTCGGCGCCGACGACCAGAAGGGACGCCTGAACCTGGTCACGGCCGACAAGGTCCGCGAGGGCTTCTCCGAGGTCAAGGACTTCAAGACCATCTGCCTCTCGCTCCCGCTCGACCTCCCCGGCGGCGAGCTCCTTTCGGTCGGCCGCGGCCCCCCGAAGCTCAAGCCCACGTACGCCGGCGAGCACCCGATGTTCTGCACCCCCATGACCGCGATCGGCTTCCCCGGCACCGACGTCGTGTGCGACGACGAGGTCACGATGGTGCTCCAGTACAGCAGCCAGTGGGACACCTTGGCGTGAGCATCGCACGGGTGAACCCCTTGTCGCCGCTACGGACGCTGATCAAGCTTCTGATCAGGCACGTGGGCGGCGTGTTCG